TGTGGTGGAGGCCATCTGTCGGGGGTGCTTTAAATGTGATTTTCCTGCTTCTTGGTAGGGGGTTGGACTGGATGGCCCATGAGGTCTCTTCCAACTCTATGATTCCAATATGATTCTATGTAGCACTTACATTTGGGCCAAACCGCTTTTGCTCTCCATTGTAGATGCACCCTCAGAGGCAATCAAGAGATAAGCCTGGCCTACCTTGCAAGGTTGTTGGAAGCATGATAGCGATTGTGTGCAGTGGAAGAGCTACCAGTCAGGTTGGACTGTGTGCAAAACAAGGACGAGTCCACAACCAAACCTGGAATGCTTTGCAAGTAGATATGAGACCAAATCTCCCTTTGGCACACAACTGGGATTAATGTTGGCGCAAACCCACTCCTGTTAGATGATTTGAATTGAGAAGGCCATGGATTGTGTGTTAAGGAGACTCTCCCTATTCCTTTGGACAAAGTAAACAAGTGGCAGTGCCGAGTGCAGAAAATGCTCCGCGTCTACAAAGAGTTTCCTTGGAAGTGATTGATATCGGGCAAGTATCACCCCAACAAGGCCAATTGGAGTGTGCACCTCGAGACTTCTAGGAGTGGATCCTAGAGCAATTGGGGTTATTTGTGGGTCAAATGCCTCTTCTCCCCCCTTGGTCAACATATGTGGCTGTATGCAGAGCATCGATCTCATTCTTGGGTGCAAAATGCCATTGGGCAACGATGATAATCCACAAAGAGGAGCAATAATAACACCTCTTCCTTGCGCTTCTCCCTGGACCCAGTTCCAAACAAGGTGGGAGTCAAAGTCCAAAACACCTGGAGGACCCAAGTTTGCCCAGTGCCTGCTCTACACTCTGCAATTTGAGCCCTCCAGGTGTTTTGGACTTCACCTCCCACCATTCCTAATGGCCTACTGACTCTGTAAGGGAGAGAGGAGAGGGAGCAGGTGTGCAAGCTGTAGTATCACAAGGTGCAGTTGCCAAACTACAGCTCCCAACTGGAGAAGTGATAGTCCACCCGACTTTGGGAAGCAGGCAAAGGTTGGAAGGAGAGGAGGAAGGATGTCTCCACTCTCTACACCAAGCATTGGGCAAACTTGGGCCCTCCAGGTGTTTTGGACTTCAACTCCCACCATTCCTAACAGCCTACCTGCTTTGGAAGGGAGAGGGGTGGGTATTACAACGTGCAGTTGCCAAACTACATCTCCCAACTGGAGGAGTGATGGTCCACCCAACTTTGGGAAGCAGACAAAGGTTGGAAGGAGAGGAGGAAGGATGTCTCCACTGTCTACGCCAAGCATTGAGCAAAATTGGACCCTCCGGGTATTTTGGACTTCAACTCCCACCATTCCTAACAGCCTACCTGCTTTGGAAGGAAGAGAGGAGAGGATACAGGTGGGTACTACAACGTGCATTTGCCAAACTACATCTCCCAACTGGAGAAGTGATTGTCCACCCAACTTTGGGAAGCAGGTGAAGGCTGGAAGGAGAGGAGGAAGGATGTCTCCACTCTCTACACCAAGCATTGAGCAAAATTGGGCCCTCCGGGTGTTTTGGACTTCAACTCCCACCATTCCTAACAGCCTACCTGCTTTGGAAGGGAGAGAGGAGAGGATACAGGTGGGTATTACAACATGCAGTTGCCAAACTATATCTCCCAACTGGAGAAGTGATGGTCCACCCAACTTTGGGAAGCAGGCAAAGGTTGGAAGGAGAGGAGGAAGGATGTCTCCACTCTCTACACCAGGCAGTGGACAAACTTGGGCCCTCCAGGTGTTTTGGACTTCAACTCCCACCATTCCTAACAGCCTACTTAACTTTGGAAGGGAGAGAGGAGAAGATACAGGTGGGTATTACAACGTGCAATTGCCAAACTACATCTCCCAATTGGAGGAGTGATGGTCCACCCAACTTTGGGAAGCAGGCAATGGTTGGTAGGAGAGGAGGAAGGATGTCCTCCACTCTCTACATCAGGCATTGGGCAAACGTGGGCCCTTCAGGTGTTTTGGACTTCAACTCCCACAATTCCCAACAGCCTACCTGCTTTGGAAGGGAGAGAGGAGGGGATACAGGTGGGTATTACAAGGTGCAGTTGCCAAACTACATCTCCCAATTGGAGGAGTGATAGTCCACCCAACTTTGGGAAGCAGACGAAGGTTGGAAGAAGAGGAGGAAGGATGTCTCCACTCTCTACACCAGGCATTGTCATGAAGGGTTCTAGTTGAGTGTGCGCATCAGCCTTTCAGTGGTTGTGGGTGGATGCATGGGCCAGCGAGGGACAGAGAGGGCCAGGTGTCCAAAAAAGCCTTCCATGGAACCAATGAGGCAGCCAAGCACTCAAGGGAAGCTTCATTAGATGCTCCCTGGAAGCTCTGCCACCATCCTTCATGCCTTTCTGCCGCGACAAGGCCTCATACATCAACGGTGAGGGGCAGGAGACAGACTCAACATATGGAAGAGAGCAGGTGAAGCTAGCCGAGGGGAGGAGGGGGGAGAGAGAAGCCTCACCTG